GAATTGCCTCAGCAAGCAAAAAACCTTTAATCGACTTTCTCCTTTCACCGGTCGTATGCATGCCGAGAGGGCGGAGAAAGCAAAGTGGAATATTTTACATTTTGTCCAACCGCGCAGTCAGGCAATATTTAATACCGAGCTAATTGATACCGTCGTAAAACACGGGGAACAACAAGGGTCAGAAATAAATAAACGACTTATGAAATGAAAACTGGTCAGCAGAATTCTGGTTACGCGAGATGTTATCTCGACCCCCACGACCGCATATCCGGACTGCACAGCTATTAAGATAAAGTCGGCATTGATTTCCTTACCTGCATTTGGATCGTTTCCCAGTAGTTTACGCTTTCCTATTCTCGTTACATGTGAAAAATAAAAGGAGAATGTCCCATTTTACAATTTTATATGACTTTTGGAGTAATATAATTCTTATGATAATTCATGCATGCACAAAAGTGTACTTATTACTTCCATTTCGAGTATTTAAATCATAAAATTTCAGTTTCGGAGGTACTTTTTATTTTTAAAAAGTCCTATATACACTCTTAGAAATCTGGTATTGAAAAAAACCTAACGGTATTGATACCGCCTTGGTATTAAACGGTTATACCATATTGGTATAGAACCGGTATTGAAATTATACCTCATGGTAGGAATCTTAATACTAATTGGTATTCAATTTTTTACCACGTAGTATTAATTCAATACCGGATCAATACCACGCGGTAGAGTCACGTATCAATACCGGCGGTTATTAATTTTTTTAAGAGTGTATATGTATAAAAAGATCAGGTAATCGTTACGTTTATCGTTATCTAAATCGTTGAGTTTATTGCCGACTTAAAAAATCTCGGGTAATAACTTTCGGGTAAAACTTCCAATTCATGTCTGCCATAGACACCAAGGATTTGGTGACAAAATCAGACCGACGATGGAGAAGGAACATATTAACAATGATATGTAAATGTACCTTGAGATCTAAATATGTACAAATACGTCGCATCCATGGTCGCAAGTAAAATGATTTCGATATCTGGTTCGATTTCCTCCTCGAGTAAATTCTAGTATCGTTTTGACAAGAAGCATATTTTTAAAATAATCGAAACATCAAATTCTGTGCAGATTTCAGTTAACATGAAACTGTGACCTTTCATGGACAGCTACCATTTACGGTGAAAGTGTGGTTTTGAGCCAACACGAACCTTTGCATTTGAATGATTGAAATTGAAAACCTAGGAAATGAAGATGTCACTTCACGTTAACCCACGTAATCTGACCGCACATAGCAAGTATACATGCATTTCGATATTATTGCATACTAGAAATATAATATTTCGAAAAAAAACGAGGCAATGCTTCTTCGTGATTTGAGGCAAAAACAATAAACGATTCAAGTTAAATAAATTAAATAAATTTGAAAATCTCAGCGATGGCCCAATTTCAATAGTCTTACTTTGCCCCTTTAACTTTCATGCTTTCACCACATACCTTGTTTTTCTGATCCAATTTCTTTTACTTTCTTTTCCACAACGAGATGTTTTCTGTGATAATAACTTTTCTTTAAAACACTACACAACCCAACCAAATAAAAATAAGAATGGATGATAAAAGAGCGGAAGTTATGGTGTGAGCATCCGGTCGTTGCGGAGAAGATAAAAATTATACAATTGGACAACTTTCCCTTATTTATCGTCTCCTCGTCGCCGACTTTCTCTTTCTCCGTGTACACAATTGGATCGCTTTATTTCGTTTTGTCCTCCACGACCTAGCAATATTTTTATGTTTGTCCACTTTCACCCGTGAATTAATGTCGCCACACAATTTTCACCTATTTTAGAAGGCATTACAGCTTTGGTTACCATTTGCCACGTATTGGTAACAGGAATTTTATTGATACTTGCACCACACTGTATTTTATTTTTCAAATTTGTTCGCAATAAAACTTGACAACATTGGAAAATAATAACTATTTTATAACTTTCACTCATAACTTCAGGCCGACGTGGTTAGAATCACTGTTAGATAGTTGACTGTATTTGATAACTGGCGATTTGCGCTGATCCAATTTTACTGGTTTTATAATCATGTCCAAAATATGTTTGTTTTCTACGTCGGAAATAAATCTATGTACGGCGTAAAGATCGTCATATGATTTTATTCGAAAAGATAAGATATTTATGGGTCATTACAAAAGATTTGTAAAAATTATCAAGACATTTTATCTACTATCATTAAAAAAATAGCAGTTTATCTAATTAATTCCCCGGATTTTTTGCAATGTTTTAATTTTTTCCAGCGATAATAAGATTTTAAGTGATGGAACTGCAGATAAATAATTCTTCAATTCTAACCTTTTTTAAGGGAGAAATTGCAATCCTTATTCTGAATAATTTAGGAGCACGAGTTTGAGTTGACATTGACCCCGTTGACTTGTGTCAGTACTTACTGTTCTCACGTGTCCTAGCAGAGGTCCAGGTTTTCGGGAAATAATGTAATCAGGACTGGATAAACATGACATGAAAAACATGAAAATTTCCTTTGTACTTGAGTAACGGGTGAGAGCTGGGGCCTTCCACCGCTTTTAGTCGTGAATAAGTAATTCGCCACAATAAATAACGGGGCGTAGGCTACATTGATCGTTTGAAGATGAAAGGATTATATTTTACTAAAAAGGATTCAACGCTAAAAATATTTTGGGACTCAGCTCGCGATGAAGTCGAGTTTGAGAATTGTGAAACGAGGTGAAAGCAAAATTCTTTGTGTATTTATAGAAATTATTTAAGTTGAAATACCTGGAATAAAAATTTCTTTGGTAAGTGCTTATGAAAACAATTCAAAAAATGCAATTGGTGTAGGATTTTACTATTCTAATTTAGCAATGGTGCATGGGTTCGTTTTTAGTTAAGAGTAAAGTTTTTTTATTCGAATATTCGTGGGTGTGGAAACCACCTTAAATTGGTCAAGTTTGAAGCCAAAGAGGAAAATTGTCGAAATTGTTTTTTTGAAAATGAATGTTAGATTCCCTTTGAGCTTTGTAAAAAACTTGAAATCATTAATAATTTTCTGAATTTACTAACTTCTGCAGGAATAAAAAGGGCTATATCAAAATCTTAAAAGGCTAGATCCAATTAAACTTTGTCCATCTCTTCAGTGAGTGTGAAAAGCTAGCTAAGCGTGAAATTATAGTGTTACATACAAATAAATCTTGCTTATGTTGAATTGTAAATTTTCTTGAATTGAAGTGATTTGTGAATTTGAAATTTACTATCAATTTTTATTTCGGACAGTTGCGAAACATTATTTAACATTGAGGGTATTCATTTCGAGTTCGCATCGTTGGCAACGTTCGCAAAAAAATAAAGTTCGCAAGTTCGCAAAACAATTTGGCTTGAAAATTGATTTGCGAACTTGCGCATCTCCAAGGCTAGTATTTAGTTCGCAAAATATTTTTCACAAATTTCGCAATGGGAAAAGTCCATAAATCTCCATTAGTTACCAAAGTTGTGCCATTCAAATTTTTGAATTTTCTTATTTGGTAAATTTCAGATGCAAAATTTCGGTAACTAATGGAAATTAACGTATTTTTCCCATTGCAAAATTCGAGACATTTTAATAAAATTTTACGAACTTTTTCATTTGCAAAGTGTCTTCACTTCGTTGCTTCGCAAAATTCGCAATTTCGAAAAAGTTATGTTGCGATGCGAACATGCGAACTCGTAATGAATACCCTCATTGAATTGAATCAGCCCATTATTGACGAGTTTAAGTTGGAAAAGTACATATTTTCCACTTTTTTCTGAAAAAAGTAATAATTACCCTCTTAAAGTTAGAAAGAAATTTTAAACAAGGTTACCATAAGCGGAATTTCTCGTTTTGTTGCTTTTATCAAGCCAAGCATGCTCCAATTCCATGCAATATCAACAAAAGATGATTGGGTTTCAAGTTTCTACTTTTTAATGACACTTGAGAAAGTCAACTCCGAGGGCTCACGTTATACAATGGAAACTTATTCAATTACAAATATTATTTATATGTATATTTTTTCTGCTAATATAAATGTGTCAATTTTCAGGATAATTTTGCATCTCGATTTCGTGTTAAAAAATGATTTTAGCATAATAATAATAATAATAATTTATTACAATGAGATACCCCAGATTACTGGGTCATTACATCTCAAGGCAGTCATTCATTACAGTGGCATCATTTCCAAAAGCATATCAATCATTTATAAATTCTAATTCATCAATAAGATTAAAAATTTCAATTAGACGTTCTGTACATTTTAAGTTTAGTAAATAAGTTTTTGTCATCTTTTTAAATACATTAAAACTGACACACTGTGATGCCAGCCGAATATGAGAGGGTAGGTGAATCCACAACTGTAACGCCCGATATTTGAAGGACTTTTTTAAAATACCATTTTTTGATACAATATTAGGAACACAAATAGACGACCTTCTAGTCGATTGGACTACCATGGATTCCGTACAAACATAATTAAAATAGTGCTGCGGGCCAATGCAATTGACCATTTTATACGCTAATTTACAGATTTCAAAGTCTACCACATTTCCAGCTTTCAACCACTCTAGATCGACATTTATATTATCAGTGATAGAGTCGTACTTGTTTTTATTTAGAACAAACCTGGCACAACATCTAGTTATACGCTCAACGCTTTTAATAACAGGAAGCCGATTTTGGTAATTTCTGTCTGCGTTAAGGCATGATAAATAAACTTCTTTGAAGATTGGGAGTGTCCGAACTGGTTAGATTTAACAGCACGACATGAATTTGAAATTTACTATTAATTTGGATTTTAAATAGATATTTAAATAGTATAAATTTGTCAAATTTAGTCAAGGATTTCATACACTCTATTTTTGTTACTACCTGTATGCATTTTACAGTTTTTGGTGGTATTTTATTCAGTTACAATAAAAAGTAACCATTTTACAAACATGTTACTAACAATTCCACTTCTTACTCGTTTTCAGGAGGAGGTTTAAGGAGAAAATCATGCAACTTCAAAACAACAATTGACCGGAATTTATACACTATCGAAGTGCGCAAATTTCATAGTTCCGGGATTGAGAAAGGTGCTCAAGAAATTGAAATTAGTAGACTTGAAGAAAATAAATGAATATTGATGAAGTTTTGCATAAAAAATAACAAAGATGCACCAGTCGTGAAGTGTTGTGCTGTGCTGTGTTTGGAGAAAGTTTGCGGCTTTGATCGAATATCTTTTAATTTTCTTGAAAGGACACGACGAACAAATTATGATGGGAATGGATCTCTGAAAATGTAAGTATTTATTTGGGTTTTATTTTCACTTTGTATGTCATAAATTATTTAAAAAAAACTTGGTCACGATTTTCTGTCCAACTTTAACTTTTTGTAAATTCTTGATAACCTTACCGAATGGTTTCATATATGAGTTTCATACATACATACCCATCATGCCCATCTCATACAATTCTTCAATACGTCAAAATTTTTACTTACGCATTTTCTACAATTAAAGTACGCCTTACAGAAGAGAGGACGCATTAATCAAACGAGAATTACTGGCGACACTTTGACTCGTGGCTATTTATCATTATTTCCTAAATCCATGAGTCCACTCAATTTAGTCTGCGTTCATCAACTCGGAGACGAGAAATGTATAACTGCGGGGAAATAAAGTGATACGAAAGCAGGGCATTTTTATAAATTCCAAGGGAAATTTAACAGGATTTATATACAAAGTTCTCAGCTCAGGGAAAATAAATTGATTCACAATGGACGTCTCCCAGCGCATGCTCTCCGATTTTGACCAAATTAGTCTCAATCGATCACAAATTTAATTAATATGAAACTTGCATATGAGACGATCTAGCAATTAAGACTGTTGTGGATGACGCGTTCGCGCGCAATCTCACTCAACCCGTGTTAATGTCTTTAAATGTAATTTCTAAAATGGCATCATCTTCATGAGTGTCGAGATAAATGGGACTTTTGATATTTTAATGTAAAGCTAATTTTTGGTACTACAAAACTTTGGTGGTTTGAAAAATTAGAAAATTCATTTACTATTTTTGCACACTAAATTTCTTCAAAAATGAATTTTCTAATTTTTCAAACCACCAAGGTTTTGTAGTACCAAAAATTAGCTTTACATTAAAATATCAAAAGTCCCATTTATCTCACCACTCATGAAGTTGATGCCATTTTAGAAATTACATTTAAAGACATTGGGCAGGGGTTGAATGAGACTAAATACTCGATGAAAATGAAGTTGAGCCTTAATGATCACGTTTGGCGGAGATATTTTCATCCGAATAGGAAAAAATACCCATTAACGTTGACAAATTTTACATTTCAAATTTATTTTCTCCTCTTCGGATGAAAATATCTCTGCCAAACGTGATCATTAATTGCTAGATCGTCTCATGTGCAAGTTTCATATTAATTAAATTTGTGATCGGTTGATACTAATTTAATCAAAATCGGAGAGCATACGCTGGGAAACCTCCACTGTGAGTCAAGTATGAAAATGAAACGGGATGTCCAATTGACTTGGGTAAGTAATGCAAATGGAGATATGAAATAGCGAGCTGAAACATATTAATTGTGACATGTTGATTTGAAATGGAACGAAATTATGTTAATTTGACGTTGTCGTTTCTTGTCCCAATTTACTTGTCAATTCATCTCTCTGAAATAATGGTTTCACCAGTTCTGGATATTTTGCATTCCCATGAAATTTGGTTGCAAATGGACAAGTTTTCTATTCACTTTTGCTTTTAGTACGTCAGCTCCATATGAAAATAAGTGTCAGATGAGAGAGTGCTATGTTAGTAAATGTTATAAATTCACATAAGCTGTTGGTATTTTGTACCCGTGGGAGCTTTAGCCCCAAATATTTTTTCTCAAAGGGGCCATTCAACGGAATGATAAGCGTCATATGATTCCTAATTTTTGGCTAGATTTTTGATATTGCGTTATATTTTTCGCTAGAAAATCCCGGTGTAGCTTCAATAAAGGTTCCATTGTTCGTGCAAATTTTCTTAATAGATAAAAAAATTGGACTTAAAAAAATTCATAAACTATCGATTCGATAAGCTGTTAAATTTGATAAAAATCGGATTATATTTTATTTTAATAAACCAAAATTTGAAAAAATACCTTTGCCAATTTTACTCACAACATTGAAATAATATACTTGTAATTTTATGAAAATTTAGGAAAGTCTTGTGAAAATTTAATTATAAATTTTAAGATTTTAAGTAACCCAATTATCAAAATAACACCTTCACCAATTTTACCCAGAACTTTGTATCCACTCTCAAACCCCACATTTTCACAAACTATTATTCAATTATGGAAATTAAAATAGTCATGATTTTATACTTCTGTTATGAAATTTTGTACAAAATTTTGAAATTTCATGAAGCTAAGCTTAAGATTCATCTCCGTTTAGCCAAGTGGAATTCGAACCTTTTAAAAGTTTTCAAGATGTAAATTTGATATAAATATCGTTTTGGCTTGCAAACCTTACAATTTTTAGAAATTTACTGATCTTTCTTTAAAAACTATACTTTTGCCAATTTTACCAAGAATTTTGTATCTACTCGGAAATTACATTTTCCCAATTTTTTTGTTTTCATTTGTTGAAATTAAAATAATTCCGATTTTGAAATTTATCTGTGAAATTTTTATGAAAATACGTTTTTTTAAATGGCGAAGAGTTTTACACCTAAAAAGTTCATAAACTTTCAATTTTACCCAGATTTTTGTTTCGACTCGGAAATCCTACATTTTCTACATTTTTTGTTTTCAATTATTGAAATTAAATAGTTCTGAGTAGTGTTTCTCAACGGGTACGAAATCCTTCATCCGAACCCAATATCTTCTACCCGAATCCGATAAGTACCCGAACCCGATAATCCGATTTGTTTGGGGAACGATCCGAATCCGAACCCGAACCCGATACGCCTCATCCGAACCCGAACCCGATACCCGATAAGTACCCGATAAGTATAGAATAATTTCATGCACTTATTTGTATATTAATTTATTTATTTCCAAATTATTGTTGAAACAGTTAATAACTAATGACAACTTTGAGCTTCAATTTTATAATTTCGATTTGTTTGTCAAAAATGAAACCAGCTTTAAATTGTATAACTTTTTATTTCTTCCACTAATATCAATCACTCATGAGTACTATTGTTCATACTATTTGTGGAACTGTCATATAATATGTAACTCCCCAGTGGGCAAAAACACAACGAATCTCTGCGATATCGTAGCGATGCACCAGCATCGAATCGTAGAGAATCTCTATCGAATCGACGTCGAAAACAGAGCTAAATGACCGCCGAATCTGTGCGAAACAGCAGCGAATTCTTAGCGAATTTCGCAGCGACTTCGCGGTGTATCGTTGAGAATTCGAGATGCATTTTTATGAAGATTTCGCTCTGAGTCGTATCGATTTCGATTCGTTTCGTCGTGATTTCGCTGCGAATTCAATGTCACCTTTTGTATTCGTTTTTTCTTGTCGAAGCAATGGAAGATTTATTAAAACACTAGCGTATACTAATTTAATATTAAGTAACATGGCACTTGATACGAAGTAAACGCCTCAAACACTATAAATTAAGTTTGTCAAGTTTACTTGATTTTAGGCATCCCCTAGCAAGGGAATGCACTCGAAATAAAGTAAAACTGGTTACCCTTCTCCAAAATTGTCTGTGCAACTTTGTATAGCATGCGTGCGATTTTTACCCCAAATAAAGCTATATTTTACACGGAATCAAGTAAAGATTTCTAAGAGTGTATGATTTTCGATTGTTGAATTTCTGTATTCACTCGTGTCAGGCTAGAGTTGGGTTTTCTATAAAATAACGTCATGAAGTTTAGAACAATTTTGCACAATCCTACTATGTAAAATTTAAAATTGCTTACCATTTTTTTCCAATCTCTGTTTTTAAAAAAATTTTGGGAGAACGGCGTCCACGGATTTCTTCGTAACCGGCATGACACTTGGGTTCATTCACAGACTCTATAAAATTTGAGTTATTGGAAGATTTAAGTAACATTTTATACCTAATAAGGTTTTAATCAAACAAAATATGACTTATCTGGACCTAACTTTGCACAGTTTCCCCAGTGAGCAAACACATTTTGTGAGTAACGCTAGACCATCTTCTAAAGATCCCAGAAGTATTTCCTTCTACAAATTACCAAATGCATAAGAAATATGTTAAGTTAAGTGTGGTTATTTGCATCAACTACCCACCAAGATTTAAGCACCCGTGGATTTCACGAATTAAATCACTAATTTATTAATTATTAATTTGCACTAGGGGAAGTTTATTTATTAAGTTTTCTCCGTTGTGATCGCCTTAAAAGATCCACCGGTCGAAGGGCACGTGATCGAAAGGCGAGGAGTAGTTGCGATTTCGGTGTGAAATCGCTGCTAAAATTTTATACGGACAATAAAATTCTGAAGTCGTTCCGAATTCGTTGCGAATTCGCATGAACAATTCTTTCCTCGAAATGCCAGCGATTTTTCGTGATCGAATTCGTAGCGAATTGTCTTCGATTTTTCGATGAGAAATATATCCTGGCGAAGTCGTTGCGGGTTCTAGGCGAAATAGCCCTCGAAGTCGCAACGATTTTTCGCTGCAGCGAATTCGCTGTAAATTCGCTATGGTCGCAGAGAATTCGACCAACGAATTGCCTACTGGGTCAAGATAGAAAGGTAGAAAGAATAAGATTAGGTCCTCAATCTCGCCCATGTTAAAATTTCAATCGAGTAATGTGTACATGGAATGGTGAGGACCTAGAAATGGTTAAAATTTGGTTGTTTATTTTATGAACGTTCTATTAATTGAAGGACATATTGATTTTTAACAACTGCCAATGTTCAAAAAACTTATTGTGGGACTTAAATCTTGTATTTCAATTTTGAATCGGGTTTTCGGATGATCCGAAGGTAAATCCGAATCCGAACCCGATAAGAATCGGATACTGAAAGCGTGATCCGTATCCGAACCCGATAACGTTCGGATACAGAAAACCCTATCCGAATCCGAACCCGAACCCGATAAAAACCCGAAACCCGATAACGACCCGAACCCGTTGAGAAACTCTAGTTCTGAGTTTAAAATTGATGAAATTGATGAAATTTTATGAAAATCTATTCACTTTTTCCACTTTTTTTTATCCATGTTAACCCTAAAAGATGATTACATTTCTAACAAATTGTCAAGAAAAATTGCGATAATATGTCCCAGAATTCGTCATGTCCAACGCAA